CGTGGAAGAACTCTGACCCTTCCCTGTGTCTGACAGACCTGCTGGTAAGTAGGTTTTGTTGGTTTTCTTGACTCGTCTTCCGCTAGAAGAGCGTAAGGGATCGTGTTGTCCTCGTGTTCTTGTGCTTAGCATACAATAAGGGCTTCCTCGATGCTCAGTCCATCCGTCTGTCTGCCATCTGAGGCGGGCTTCAGTCACTCTGTGTGTCAGCTAAGGCATCTGGAGGCATCTTGATCATCTGATAAGCAGTTGAAGGCAGAGGCGTTAGTCAGCAGTTTCCCCTGCTGGCTGTAGGCAGTTTCTGTCTCACGTTTGTCAGATTCTTGAAACAAGAAATGAGGAAATACGCTGCATCAACAGAAGAGACAAAAGTACGACATTGAGTTTTGGTTGTTTAGTATTTAACAAATCGGACTCACTGAGCTGGGAGCTTTCTGGTGAGGGGAGGAGAGAGCCACGTGAGAGTGGAACAGGCCAGAGGGTTGTGAGCGCGGGACAGTCGTTGGGGCCACGAGTGAGGAAAGACCCACAAGAACAGCTGCAGATAAACCCTCACCCAGCTCGCCCTGACGTGACTCTTACCTCTAATCCTTAACTCTTGCTGCACCGAGGAGGCACTGGGGCCTAGAAGCTTCTGAAGCCCCGTCTAGGCTGTCTGTTCATTTGGCATTGGCTAAAGGGGGCAGCTAGGGGGTGCCACACTTCCTAGCTGGGTGACCCTGGGCAAGTCACTTCACCTCTGCCTGCCTCAGTTTCCTCATCTGTACAATGGGCTGGAGAAGGAAATGACAAACCCCTCCAGTATCTTTGCCAAGAAAACCTCAGATGGGGTCACGAAGAATTGGACAGGACTGAAAATGACTGAAGGAACAGAGAGGGTCAGAAGAAAGAGTTTTGTTGTGTCAGGATCAGCATGCACTCATTAAGCACCTGCTGTGTGCCAGGTATGTGGAGTAGAAACAACAGGAAAAGACAGATCACAGTCCCTGACCTCCAGGAGCTTCCGTTTAAATGGGAGTGTGCTCATTTTCTAGTGCAGTCACGCTGAGGGGTCCATTCCCGTCTTGTTCACTTTTCCCCAGTCTCCAGGATTCCTGCCAGCTGAGTCTTTACCTGTTTTTGTTTTCTTCTGAGGGGAAGTCCTGGTTTCTTTCTCATTCTTGATTTCCAGCTTATCGGGGTGCTGTGACGGAATAAGATGGACATTTCCTTGTTTCTCTCGTGACCATCTCAGGCCTGCCTCTTTTAAAGCCATCTGGGTCTCTTTCCTGCTACAACCGTATAAAGATGGGATAGTGTCCTTTAAGGGTGATTGTGACTAGAGAGATTGGCCACCTTGTCTCCACTGGTGTGCCCAGGGAGAGCGCCGTAAGCACTTGGGAGGAGGTCTTCTAGAGCTGCCGAGGTCCCAAGCCTCCCTTCGCCCCGTGACCTAATCAGACCGTGACTGGTCCACATATTAGACATCCAGACTCTTCCTGGTGTCCTCCTCAAAGCTGGAAAAGCCGCTACCTGGTAACGCTTGCCAGAGCTTGGCCCCTGCTGGCACAGTGCCCCTGTGATCCAGGGGCCCACCAGGAGCAGAGGGCATTGCAGCAGAAAGCTCACTGTACCCAGTCCCTGCCCTGGATGACTTCAGTTCTCCTTGTGGGGCAGGACTAGGGAAGCACCTCCGGAGAAGACCTGTACGGATTGCTCGGTTATATGGGACAGCATTTCCTTCCTTGTTTTGTGCCTGCACCTGTGTATGACTATTGACAGGAACCTTTGTATGTGCATATATTAAAAAGGTGCCTCTCCTGTCCCGGCCCCACCCCATATGTGGTGGGCCTGCAGCTGCCCTTCTGGAGACCTGGTCAAGTGTGTCCTTCGGGAAGCCTTTCATGACCTTGCCCCCATTCAGAAATGCCTCTTTTCTTGTGCCACTTACATTTATTAGCTGCTTAGGAGAAATGTGGCCCTGTGTCAGATATGGCCCAGATGCTGCTCTGCAGGAGCTCATAATCTGATTGGGGTGTGGGGGTGAGGGCCGTGTACAAGCTCTAGAGAGGAGAAGGCCGAGGCTGGCCAGAACCTGGAGGAAAGCTCGTGTTGAAAGAGGAGAGGAAGCCAGAGGAGAACCAGGAGAGTGTCATAGAAGCCAAGGAGGCAGCTTTGCGGAAGGACACAGAGGTCGCCAGTCAGATTGCTTGGGCCGTCAGGGGAAGGAGGCCAGGAAAGAAGGCCCTGGGTTTGGCCCGAAGGAGCCGTGGGGACTGAAAGAAGATTGGGGTTTGGAGGGAGGGGTGATGAGGAAGAGGCAGCCAGTAGAGGCTACGCTTTGTAGAAATGTGGCGGGGGGGCGGGGTCACAACAGCGAGATAGAAAATGACAGTGTGAGCTGGGGTGTCAACATCAAGGAGAGTTGTGTTCTTTCAGGATGGTAGTGACTGAGCATATTTGTAAGCTAAGGAGCAAAGGGAGTCAGTAGAGATGGGGGGAAGCTGCGTTAGTGTCAGAGAACTAATGGGTCAGGAAGGTCAGCAAGTAGACAGAGGGGCCAGCCCGGAGGGTGACGGCTTCCACTGGAGAGAGGAACGAGAGCCCGTGCATGGGGAGGTTTTGTGCTGGCTGGTGTCAGTCTCAAGAATGCAGGAAACAAGGTCAGCCCGATGATCAGTGTGTCTGGCAGGTGGTCCTTTTTGCTTAACTTGACTTCTTTATGGGGGGGGAGATGATTGGGAAAGGGCAGCAATCTGTAAAGCAAGAGTTAAAACTTGCTTAAAGAAGGGATTTAGCACAGCCACTGAGAATGGGAGTGAATCCACAAACAAGGATTAAAAACACGGTGGTACTTGCAACTGGGAAATAAGAAATACAGGAAATGGGGTACAGAAATCCATCCTGTCCTACAGAAAAATAGAAGGGGAAGGGGGTAAGAGAAGTGGGGCAGAGATAGAAGGGAAGACAGACTAGGGGAAGGGCTATTCAGAATGCATGCCATCTTGGGGTGGGGGAAGGGGCGAGATGGAGTGAAAATTTGGAACTCAAAATCTTGTGGAAGTAAATGGGCAAAACTAAAAATAAATTTTAAAAAAAGGATGGTGGTAGCCACGAGGGCACAGTGTGAGGCTGTCAGTCAGCTCAGGCTTGTGATCTCCTCAAGTGGTGGGGGGGGCCAGGTGCCTGCCTTTTTCATATGGTTATCGCACTCACCAGGACCCAGCAAGGCCTCAGAAAGGTGGCTTGATTGAACTGAAGTGTACATTTTCTGGCTGGTGCTGTTTGTGTTTGGTTTTATTTTTAAATCAGCTGTAGATCTGACCTGTTCTTTGTGTTTCTTTTTATTCACCTGTGGCTTACTAAATGATAAAGTGGTTTCCAGTTTAAGAGTCTTTGTCATAAGAAGTAGATAAAAGTGACAGTGCCCCTCAATAGGTTTTCCATTGATCGATCCACCATCCTTTGGTTATAATTTTTTGACAAGTATTTATCTGTCTATCTATTTATTTTTAATTTTCAACATTCACTTTCAGGAGATTTTGAGTTCCAAATTTTCTCCTCATCTCTCCCCTCCCTCCACCCCAAGATGGCAAGCAATTTCATAGAGGCTCTACCTATACATTCATATTGAACCTATTTTCTTATTAGTCATGTTATAAAGAAGAATTAGAACCAGTGGGAGAAACCACGAGAAAGAAGAAACAAACAAAAGAAAAAAGGGAAAAAAGAGAGTGAGCAAATAATATGCTTTGATCTACATTCAGACTTCATAGTTCTTTTTCTGGATATGGACAACATTTTCCATCATGAGTCCTTTGGAGATGTCTTAGATCCTTACATTGCTGAGAAAGGCTAAGTCTATCAACATTAGTCATCACACAACGTGGCAGTCACTGTGTACAACGTTCTCCTGATTCTGCTCACTTCACTCAGCATCAGACCATACAAGTCTTTCCAGGTTTTTCTGAAGTCCAAATGCTCATCATTTCTTCTAGCACAATAGTATTCCATTCCATTCACATACCACAACTTGTTCGGCCATTCCCCAGTTGATGGGCATTCCCTCAATCTCCAATTCTTTGCCACCACAAAAAGAGCTTCCGTGAATATTTTTGTACATGTGGGTCCTCTTCCCATTTGTGTGATCTCTTTGGCGTACAGCCCCAGAAGTGCTATTGCTGGGTCAGAGGGTTTGACAAGTATTTAGTGACAGCTGACTACCTGCCTAGTTCTTGTTGAGGAGCAAGAGAGGGAAGTTAAGACAAGGTGGAATTTTGAATATAAAGATCAGAAACTGGGACCTTGATCCTTTGGGGGTTGGGGGCAAAATGACTGAAGCGATGTTTTAGAAAGGTGGAGGCGGCCGGTGGCCTTGTGCACAGTAGATTCGCCGGAGACAAGGCCTGAAGTGGCGGGGGTGTAGCCGTGGAGTACTGGGGTGATGAGGACCCCGAACTAGGGCTAGTAGTGCTGTATGAAGGGAAAACAGAAACCCAAGAGAAATGGCGAAGCTAGGATTGATAGGATTTTTTTAAATGATCGTATGTAGGAAATGAGAGATGTGCTTGACTCTCCTATAATAGTTTGCTGAAGAGAAAAACGGTCATGGAAAGAATTGGGCTTTGGAAGTCCGTCTGTTGTGCCATGAATGACTTTGACAGACTTATCTCTTCTCAGCAATGCGAGGATCCAGGATAACTCCGAAGGTCTCAGGATGGAAAATGCTGTCCACATCCAGAAAAGAGCTATGGGGCTGAATACAGATCAAAGCGTATTATTTGCTCTCTGTTTTTTTTTGTTTCTTCTTTCTCGTGGTCTCTCCCATTGGTTCTAATTCTTTATAACATGACTCATACTCTGCATGTATAGGTAGAGCCTCTGTTAAACTGTCTGCCATCTTGGGGTGGGGGAGGGGAGAGACGGGGAGAGAATCTGGACCTCAAGATCTCCTGCAAGTGAATGCTGAAAATTCAAAAAGAAGCTCGTCTGTTTAATAGTCTCCACTCTCCCTCTTCTAGGTGCGCTACCCAGAGCGGATCACGATACTGAGGGGAAATCACGAGAGCCGGCAGATCACCCAGGTGTACGGCTTTTACGACGAGTGCCTGAGGAAATACGGCAACGCCAACGTTTGGAAATACTTCACGGATCTGTTTGACTATCTCCCGCTCACGGCGCTGGTGGATGGACAGGTAGGCGTTGACAGGGATGGCGGTGAAGGCAGCGTCCGTGTGCTGACAGAGAGATCTGTGTCATTCTGCAAAGTCGGCACCTGTCACAGGAAGGAGGGCCGGCCGTGGGCCAGGGGCTGTGCTAAGAGCTTTACCAATGTTACCTCATGCGATGGTCACAGAAACCCTGGGAGGCAGATGCTGTTATCCCCATTGTGCAGATGAGGAAACTCAGACTCAGAGGAGTTAAGTGACTTGTTCAGGGTCACTCAGCTAAGAAGTGTCTGAGGCTGGATTTGAACTCAGGTCTTCCTGACTCCAGGACCAGCACTCAATCTGCTGCACCACCCAACTGCCTCAGGAAGTTAAAAGGCAATGGTCTTCACCTTCCTAATAATAACTGGCACTTGGAGGGACAGGAGAAGGGCTGGCATCTGGGACTTGACCGGTCCAGGGAACTCTCAGGGGAGGCAGCATGGCCCTTCTCTGTAGCTTATGCTTGGCCACCTGCCTGGGGCTCCGAGTGCTAAAAGTGACCTGCTCAGGATCGTGGTGGGACCAGCACCCTGATCTGCCCTGGTGCCAAGGTCAGCCCCCTCTGTCCTGGCACGTTTAACATCCGGACGCTGGCGTGATGCCCTACATGGGTCACTGCTATGTACCTTGGGACAGTCCTGCAGGTGAGGGAGGTCAGGAAACTGAAGCTCAGGGTCACACAGCTGGGAGGGGTCAGGTGAGAGCAGGCCACCAGCGTGTGCTTCCCAGCAGGGTGCTGTGGCCAGTGCCGTGCCAGGAGACAAAGCAGAAACAAAGTGGCCCCTGCCGTCAGGCGGCTTCTGTCCCTCTGGTGGGGAATGAGGAAGGAGTACTGGGGAGCAGCGCCCAGCTGTCCCCCGCTGGGTCCTTCCCCTCCCTAGGAATCTTGAGCCCCAAGATGGCTAGGGGAGGGAGAGGCTAACAGAGGAGCGTGTCATTTGGCAGAAAGGGGGTGGAGGGATTGGTTCTAATTCTTACCTACAACATCACTAATGTAAAAATATATTTCATAGGGATATAGATGTATAGCCTGTATCAGATTGCACGCCATCTTGGGAAGAGAGGTGGCGAGGAAGGGGGAGAAAAATTTAAAACTCAAAAGCATGTGGAAGTGATTGCTGATAAATTAAAATAATAAAAAAAAAAATCACCTCCTAAAACTAAGGGGCGGGGGGTAGAGGGGGAGACGTCTCCCCAGGGGCCCGTACCTCCCTGCCTCCTGTAGACGGAGGGAAGCCTGAGGCCACTGCTGACCAGCCGTGTCTTGGGTTGTTGGGAGCACGGGTGGAGCCATGCCAGCCCTTTACCCCCGTTGATGTGCTCTCTGGGGAGCAATAGAAATCTCAGCCGGCGTTTCTGTACTAGTACTTAGAGGTTTGCAGGGTGCTTCCCAGAGAAGAGCTCGACAGGGTAGATGCTGTGATTCCCACTTTGCAGATGAAGTAAGTGAGGCACAGAGAGGTTAAGAGAATTCCAGGGTCTCACAGCTAGGAGTTGTCCCAGGTGAGACTTGAACTCATTCTATCCACTTCACCACCTGGCTGCCTGGTGATTGAGGGCTTAGTTGTCTTTATGTGAATGAGAATTTTAAAATCAGTGATACAAGTTTACCAAAGCGAATCTATAAAAAAATTAATTATACTTGAAAAAAATAATCTATGGAACGAAATAGTTTAATTGTACGTACTTATTAAGTAAATTTATTTTCTTGTAGATAAGATTTTGGGGAATCATAAAATTTTGAATTGATTTAAATTTAAAAGGTGAAAAATCATAAGGTATGCGTTGTTTAAATTAGGTACTTTTCATCAGATTTTGGCAAGAAATGAGCTAAGAAAATTGTGCAACCCCCTCCCCCTTTTTTCTTCTTAAAGATATTTTGCCTCCATGGTGGCCTTTCTCCGTCCATCGATACACTGGATCATATCCGAGCCCTGGATCGCCTGCAAGAAGTTCCACACGAGGTAAAGGTGGAGTTTTGGGGGGTGGCATTGCACCTGTGTCAGGTACTGTGCCCCAAACGGAGGTGAGTGCTCTTTCCTGACCGGCAGCCCGTATTCCATTGGCCCGAGGTCGCTGGGGCCCAGTCCATCTGAGGGGCTCTGCCGTGACATGAGAAGGTCACGAGGAGCAAAGTCCTTTGTCCTTCTCCTTGCCCTACGCTGGTATCTCGGGCATCAGCCCAGACGGAATCTCTAAAAGGGCCTGAGCTCAGCAGGCCAGAGGCAGAAGAGCCAAAGTCTGACCACATGCCGCCAGAACCCTATTAAGTTGTTCTCTGGGTGTTCTCGAGGAATTGGGCCAGAGGAACAGTGTTTCAGAGTAATGACGCATTTGCATAGACCACAAGAGAGGTTAGTACAGCTCTCCATTTCAGAGACCCTTAAGATGAGGGTGTGGACTGTGAGGACCCGAAGGCAGGGGGCCCCTCCTGCTTCCGCCGTCATCTGGCCTTAACCTGGTGGAGCTGGTGGAGGGCTCTTGGCCGCCCCGATTGGTCACAAGGAAAGGTTCTTGGGCAGTGACAGACATATTATGTTAAAAAGGGAACAGAAAGGTGACACGAGAACAGTTTAGAAAATAGAATAAAGTTTTGTTTTGGGAGAGAAAGATTACTCAAAGAAAGAGCTGAGGGCTCCCCTGCAGACCCCTGGAATCTCCCAGGATAACTGCAGAGGGACTTGGGACACTCAGTGAGTATTTCTCTGTAGAGGTTCACATAAATCTTGTTAGCTTACTACATGGCAGCAGAAAGAACTCAATGGTGCTCTGGGGAAATGTTGAGATTGAGGGACGTTCTGCTATTCCCCCTTCCTTCAGTGCTGTGTTCCTCACTCCTTCCTGGCACCTGTGTGCCATGCGGTACACCACCCTTTGGGCGGCCCCCTCACACATCGTGCCATCATTGTTTTCCCTCGGCAGGGCCCGATGTGTGACCTGTTGTGGTCTGATCCCGATGATCGTGGCGGATGGGGCATTTCTCCACGAGGGGCTGGCTACACATTTGGACAGGACATTTCTGAAACGTTCAACCATGCCAACGGCCTCACGCTGGTTTCCCGTGCTCACCAGCTCGTGATGGAGGTATGTGCATTTGTGCACAAGATGCTTGCTTCCACCTTCAGTGGGTGACAGACCCGGCACTAGGCTGGCTTCTCAGGCCCTAGGGTGATCCTCCGCGTTAGCTGAAGGCAGAAATTATTGTTCCTCGTTTGAGGGCGTGGCAAGAGCCTCTGATATGCCCTGTCAAGGTGGATTACATTGAAGATTGTGTTGCTGTGAAATGCTTTATTCCAGTATGTTTACGAGAGATAGAATTAATAAGAGATTTTACATCCGCTGTAAGTAAGAAAGAAACAGCAGCGTGTAAAACCATGTGTCTGATTCCGCTCTCCCTTCGGTGAAGGACGAACCTGTCCTGCTGGTTCTGGGAGGCGAGTGTCAGAATTAGCAGAACCAGCCGCTCGGTCACGCATCACGATGTCTTTGGTTTGACCGAGTGGACGCTTTCCAACAAATCCCCTTAGAAAGAACACTCCCCAAGGAAGCGGCCGTGGAGGTCACTGCCCAGAAGGCGGCACGGGTGGGCTCCTTGACTTCGGTCCCTGGGCGCCCTCTTCTTTTGGGGCTCCTCAGTCTTTCCCTCTGCTCTTGCGGGGACCTGCCAGTTCCCACGGCCTCAGCCGCCCCTCCCATGTCACCCGCTCTCGTGGCTGAGGGCACGTTGCACGGGGATCTGTCTTGAACATAGTTTTACGTGCTTACTATGTGCTTGGCAGTACAATAGCAATGCAGGCAGTTGCTGTCCTCCGAAAGCTTGCTTTCTGGTTTTGTTGTATTGGAACCTCCTTTTAGTTTATCTTTTGCCTGATTCTTTTTTAAAAAATACGATGTCATTGATGTCTTCTCTTTTTTACATCATCCTGGCTTTCCCCATCCCATACAACAAACAGTATTTTTTAAAGACAAAAAAGAGAGAAAGAGAGGGTGAAAAATCAGCACAGCTGCCCCGTGTGGAAGAAGCCCCGGGCCTGGGGCATGTGTCACCCCGGGGGGGGAGGGGTCCTCCTGCCTCTCTGGTGTGTGTATGTGTGTTGGGGGGGTTATCGCTTTGTTACCTTCCCTTCAGACCTTTGGGTCTTGGCTGCTCTGTCCATTTACATCGTTGTTTTCTTGGCTCTGCTGACTCTACTCTGTGTCCGGTCCTGTGCACGTTTCTTGGTCAGTCGTTTTTGCTTTACATTCTCTTCTATTTCTTCAGCCCTGTGCTCTGTTTTAATCTTTCTTGTCACTTCATGGAGTTCCCTTTGGTCCACTCTGCTGTCCAGGTGGTTTGTTGCTTGGGCAGGGTTTGTGCCCCTCGTGCCAAGCTCTCAGTTCCTTTTCCAGTCAGTCTGCTGGGCCTGGAAGCCTCCCCTTTCAGACCTCTCTGCCTGTCTCAGCATCCTTGCCCCCAGTGAAGCCTCCCCTGAACCACGCCTTCCCAGCTGTTGTCACGGACAGCGCTGGGCGTCTGTGCTCTTCCTGTGACAGTTGACTGACCTTGGTTATGTGATGCCATTTCTGTCATCCATTTCCCATTTTTCATTATTAATTACTTGGTTAAATAGTTCAGCGTTCAGTTGTTCCATTTGTAGGCCATCTTTTCTGATTATACTTTGTGCTAGCTTTTTACTCATTCTGGTCTTTGTTCCGGCAGGTAGTCAGTTAAGTCGGGATGACTTCTAATACACAGTGAGCCTTTTCTTTTTTTTTGTTTTTTTGTGAGGCAGCTGGAGTTAAGTGACTTGCCCAGAATCACCCAACTAGTGAATGTTATGTGTATGACGCCAGATTTGAACTCGGGTCGTCCTGACTGCAGGGCTAGTGCTTTATCCACTGCGCCACCTCACTGCCCCGAGCCTTTTCTTGAGTGTTAAAATACAGCTGTTTTCATTTGATGGATAAGTTAAGTATGTTCTTTCCAGGAAACTGCCTGGTAGGTCAGTAGAACACCATTATCTTTAGGAATTAAAAGTAGAACTCTTACTACGGACTTACACAAGTTAATTTGGTTTACCATAAGATCTAAATAACATGTAGACCTTCACACTTTGGTTTTTTTTTTTTTTTTTTTTTTAGGCAATTGGGGTTAAGTGACTTGCCCAGGGGCACACAGCTAGTTAAGTGTCAAGTATTTGGTCTTAGGCTGGATTTGAACTCGGGTCCTCCTGACTTCAGGGCCGGCGCTCTATCCACTGCCCCACCTAGCTGCCCCTGACCTTCACCCTTTGAAACAGAGCTGTCTCATTTAGCCCTTTTTCTGTGAGCCTGCCTGCCCGCCCGCCCTCCTTGTGGGCTCTGGTCTGGCCCCTTGAGGCCGGCCTAGGGTTGTGTCTGTAGGGGTCAGCAGTGGCGCCCAGCACCGCCTCTCTTGCTGCTCTGCTCCTCCTCCCGTTTCCCCTGTGTGTTATTCATGGTCAGCCTTAAAAACAAACCCAGAGTCGTAACGCAGATGCTGTTTTTTTCAATGTCTCAGGGGTACAACTGGTGCCACGATCGGAACGTGGTCACCATCTTCAGTGCACCCAATTACTGCTATCGCTGTGGGAACCAGGCGGCTATCATGGAGTTAGATGACACTTTAAAATATTCCTTGTAAGTATCGCCTAAGTCCAACAGAAAATAGAGATGGAGGTATTAGAATTAAGGGTCACACATTAGAACAGAAGTTAATGTTTTCACATTCTTTCATATGTGAAAGGAGAAACAAGGAAAGGTAAATAAATTTTAATTCAGTTTAATAAACATTGATTGAATTGATGTCATTGAATATATTTTTTGGCCCAGGTGATTGCTTTGAAAGATCCTGGAGAACAGCATTAGTGACCAAAGAAAGACAAGAGGAGGGCAGGGGTTAGGCAGATTTTCAGCAGAGGGAAAAGAATAGACACTGCACACTGCGGGCCTTCTGTCCTCAGAGAGATGGCGAGCTGCGATTTCAAAGGGCTCAGGGCAGGCCAGACTCACCGGTGCTTAATGAAATCCCCTAGGGAATGCTGTAGATAGAGTTCAGACATGGGTTGGGGGAGGCTTGGTTTATTGACTAAACCATACTTTGGTTTGGTTTGAAAACATACTGTGTTTGAGTGCCTGTGAGCTTATGATGAGCTGACGCTGTCATGCCAGCCAGAAGTGTTCATACAGCCCTGGGCTCTGTCAAGGGGGAAGAGGCTTCCTGAACACAGAGGTGTTGGTCCTGCTGTTGTCTGCCCACCAAGGCAGGACTCCCAGCACGGGAAGGCCCTCGGGCTCGTGAGCCCCGAGGACCCAGGGAGGGGAGCAGGACAAGGGGAGAGGTTACAGGAGAGCTGATCTAGGCAAACTTCCTCTCTAGTAGAGGCGTCCAGGTAAGTTTAAATAGCTGAAAAAACAGTGAAAGGTTCCCTCTGGATGTTGGAGAAAAGCACCAAACACATGCAGCTGCGGGATGGCCCCCAAGGCTCTCCTTCATTAGGCATGGCTGGGTGGATCGAGCCTGGAGACACTCGTGCTGCCCGTCTAAACAGACCCTAATAACATTGCCTGTCCACGCACAGTTTGTTGTGCATGGACTCTGTACTGTTCAGGCCAGAAGGAAACCGTCCACATACAAGCAAGACCATGTAAGAAGGGGCTTGATTAGTTATCGGTACTCCTTGGCTCTGCCTCTTTTGTGTGTAAGTGATTGTCAGGTTGTGAAAGCACACTTCAGCAGTCTACCCCGTTCCTCGAAGCCAGGACCCAAGTACCTGACCTTGGGACGTCTTGGTTCACGTCAAGGCCTGGCTGGCCTCTGCTGACTTGCCCCCTTCCTTGGTCCACTCCATCTGTTTATAAAGAGCCGGGGGGCAGGGAGGCTGGATTAGCCCATTGTTCGCTTTAGGTTGCCTTTCTAGTTGTAACAGTGATGGCTGGAAGGACCCTAGAAAGGCGCATCCCCAAGTCATTCTTTGGATTTCTCTTTGTACAGCCTGCAGTTTGACCCTGCGCCCCGTCGTGGAGAGCCCCACGTCACACGGCGCACCCCGGACTACTTCCTATAAACAGCTTTGGGGAAAACCTAGGACAAATACCTGGAGGTACACTCGGCATCTTTTTTACAAAGCGATGAGAACAGACATGTTTGTTAACAAGTTGGAATCCGTGTCTGCCTCTACGCCCATCACGGACCAAACTGTGCCCTCGTGTGCTCGGCACTGAGCAAGCCCACTGAGGCTGAAAGCCACCCCGCCCCGTCTTAGGTCGGTCAGTCAGTCAATCAGCCTGCCTGCTGTATTTGGGCTCCCTGTTTTCTTCTGGACTGTTCAACAGAAAAGGTAACTCATACCTCCATCTCCTTTTGCGCTTATTAATATGTAAATTTTAGTTTTAGTGTTTAACTGGCATGGATTATAGAATTTGGAGTTTATTTTTAAAGAAAATGCACAAACTAACTTTGACATAACTCATCACCCTTTATTTTATTAAAATGTATGATTAACTTAACTGGAGAAAGGCGAAGATTCCCCTTGGGAGTATGTTGTCATAACATTGAGAGATTTCCCTTCATTGAAGCTAAATGACTGTTCTGTGTTGATCTCCCTTTTTTTCTGTATATTTGTCACAGAAGTGCTTGCATCTTCTTGGGTGTATTGGAACAATAAACTTTTGAGTTGTAAACCAGACTGTCCTGAATTGCCGTGGTACGCGTGGAAATTTCTCATGGGGAATCCTGGATGTGGGGTTATCACTTGGCCCAGACCGAAGCTGGAAATGAACTCATTTCTAATGATGACTTCTCTTATTTGATCTATTATGTGGCAGAGAAAAGAAGAGACGTTTGCTGACAGTTATCAGGGCAAGGCAAAAACACAGCCATTTATGGTTTTGATTTCCCTAGGTAATCTGTGTTAATGTAATACAGAATACTTGCATTTAATGTGCAATTTTAAAAGTTAGGTTGTAAGCCAAATGGAGGATGGATAAATGAATTCTGAAGAACCACAGTAATGTGCAGTCAAGACACAGCTTTTATTTTTTTAAAAAAGTATGTCCTGGGACGGTGTGTGTAACGTCCATCTCAGCTTTATGAAAAGATCTAAGTCGAGACACTGGGGTCGTTTGATTTTTTCCAGTCCCATAATTACGTAGCACTCATGGGTGAATGTTGAACTCATAATTCCTTCATGAAATCTGCATGACAGACATTGGGGATGGAAAAAACAGCACTGTTGAATTAATGTGGCAAATAAATTATGAGTGTGTGTTTGAACTGCTAGTTGTATAAACCGGAATCAAGGTCAGCTTGAACTGAACCACCGCAGGTTTCCATGGTCCTCCAGGAGAAGCCACTCCCTGTTGGAGATCCCGAGCTCCATCTCTCGTGGCCCCTCCCTCCATTTGGGCCTGTTTTCATAGTGTTTTCAGTCTCTCCCTATTCCTCCATCTCCCAGTTCTCTCCCGCCCTTCTCTTCCTTCTTCCCAGGCTTTGTTCTACCACGCCTTCCACAGTGTTCCTTCATGAGCCCTTGTCCCCCGTCCCACACCTCTTCCCTGGATAACTTGCCCCGGCTTTGCTCGCCACTCCTCTTCCTCGGCATCCCCAGCCCTTAGCACAAGCTTAGGCACATAGTAGATGCTGAGTATATGTTTATTGGCCCACTCCTTCCTCCACCCCCACCATACCTACAGTGGTGTGCAAGTAAGCTGACATGTGGATTGACTTACACAATATAGATTCCAGTTTTTCACATCTTTAAAAACTTTTGCTCCCCAGTATGGCCTCCTTTGCTGCAGTTCCTTGTCCTCCATGACTTGGCACTGAGGTCACAAGATTTTCACATACAACCTTTAACTCTTCATGAAACTACCCTTATGTCCCATTGGGTGTTAAGCACGTCTTTGATGATAAGGCCATTTTTCCAAGTGTCACCTTGATTATAGCCTATTGGTTTTCAGTGAAGCATAAGTCTGGCATTAAAGTATATTTATTTCCATCTCATCGAACAATTTCTTAATTTTTGAGTATATCTGGGGTGGTGCAAGATCATACTGCGATGTTCTATCTCCATTTGGAAATTCATGTGCTTCCAGAACAGTTGTGCTCCTCAGGATACCAATATATTTATCAGAGTTCGTCATTCCCTCAAGGGGGATAAGACGTAGAAAAGGAATCCCCAAAATATCTTTCCCCAAACGCTCTGTAGAGGGCAGCCCCATCCTCCCAGTGTCTCAGGCTCCCAACCTAGGAGTCCTCCTCCATGCCTCACTCACACTGTCTTTTACACACACACCCATCCAATATGGCGCCAAGGCCTGCCCATTTCACCTTTGTAGCATCTCTTGTCAGTTATCTCCAGCCTCCTCTCTGACCCTGCCCCAGCCTGGTGCAAGCTGTCATCCCTTCACGTCTGGATTCCTAGAATAGTTGTTCAAGTCAGCCGTCAGAGTGATTTCCCGAAAGCATAGGTCTGACCATGTCGACTCCCCATCACCTCTAGGATCAAATACAGAATGCTGTTTTTGGTATTCAAAGCCCTTCATAACCTCTCCATTCCCTCCTTTCCAGGCGCCTTACTCCTTACTCCTTGATAAAGCCTCTTCAACCCAGTGACCTGGCCTCCATCTCAGGCTATCCTCCATGCCTGGGAGGCTCTGCCTCCTCTGCTCTGACTCCCGACCTCCCTGGCATCTTTTAAGTCCCAACCAAATGCCCCCTTCTGCAGGAAGCCCTTCCTAACCCCTCCTAATTCTAGTGCCTTCCTTCTCTCATTTATTTCTCACTTGTCCTGTCTGTAACTTGTTTTGTACCTAGTTGTTTGCATATTGTCTCTTCTGTTAAACTGCAAGCACCTTGAGGGCAGGGACCATTTTGACAAACTTTTTTTGTGTCCCCAGTACTTCACTTACTGCCAGGCACATAGGAGGCATTTAATGACTAGATGTTTTTTGTTTTTTCGCTTTTTTTTGGTGAGGCAGTCGGGTTAAGTGACTTGCCCAGGGCCACACAGCTAGTACGTGTCAAGTGTCTAAGACCAGATTTGAACTTGGGTCCTCCTGACTCCAAGGCCAGAGCTTTATTCACTGTGCCACCTAGCTGCCCCTAAATACAGTCCTCAGCAATCTGGTACCAGCCTTCCTTTCTTTTTTATTTATTTATATTGGGGTTAAGTGACTTACCCAGAATCACCCAGCTAGTGAGTGTTATGTGTCTGAGGCCGGATCTGAACTCAGGTCTTCCTGATTCTAGGGCCTGTGCTCTATCCACGGCACCACCTCGCTGCCCTGTGACTAGATGTTTTGCAATCTGATGACGATGTTCAGATTTTATAGGCTTACCTGGACTGGGATTTTGATATAGCCTTGAATATAAACATTTCCTTAGTAAAAACTACCTTCCCCCCCATCTTTAGCATTCCAGGCTTTGTATTATCTTGCCCGTGGCAAACACTTTTCCTTCACGGCAGCGGCGAGCGCGTTACTTATTTAAGGACAGCCCTTCCAGTTGCCAGGACTGTCTGAAGGGCTTTGTTTTTAGAGGACCGACGAGGCTGTCTGGCAGCACCCGTTGGTCGGTTTTGTTTCCATCTAACTTTCCTTTATACTTGGTATGACCGAGCGTGTCTCATTGTGAGCTGGTGTGATCCCAGAAATGCTTGACTCGGCACCCCGGCCGCTGCTTCGGCGTCTTTGACGAGTCATCTGAGGAGTGCCGAGAGCTCTAGCTGGGGGCGTTTCCGTAGAGCCCAGATTCTTCATCTGTTTTGTGCCAGTCAGTCTGGTGAAACCAATGGGCCTCTTCTCCGAGTGACGTTTTTAGATACAAAATCACAAAGGAGCAAGCCAGGTTAGTGACAATAAAGAGGTGATTCTTTGCCCCCTCCAAGTTCACAGACTCCTTGAGCCCCGATGGAGCCCAGGCTGAGGACCCCTTATTGCTATCACATCCGTTCTTAAAAACCACAGAATTGGGGCAGCGAGGTGGCGCAGCGGGTACAGCATCAGCCCTGAATTCAGAAGGACCTGAGTTCAAATCCGGCCTCAGACCAAACACTTGTCACTAACTAGCTGTGTGACCCTGGGCAAGTCACTTAACCCCGATTGCCTACAAAAACAAAAACCAAAAAAACCACAGAATTAAAGCTGCAACAGAGAAATGTGTATGGCTTAAAAGGGAGGGGAGGCGGCTCAAGCCTGGCTTCTCTGGATCAGCCCGTCGAGGTCAGCTGGAGCACAGACACGTGCCTGACCACTTGCATGATCTCACAGAGTGAGACCGTATGCCTGTATCACTTGTCCCAAGGCACCTACCACTGTCCCTCCCACTTTGCAGGGGAAATTCAAGCCATCCTCCAGGACCAGTCAGCTCGCTCTCGCTCTCTTTCTTCCTCTGCACTATTTGCTGTCTGTCTTTTCTCTTCCTGTCGGTCTCCGGGGACCACGTGCCTGGAGCTTCTCCTCGCCCACACTGACCCCTCTCTGTGATCCTCTGCCTTCCCTTCCGCTCTTCCCCACGGCCTTGCTTGGCCACTTTCCCCATTTCTCCGATGGAGATTCCTCAAAAACAGAAACTGACTCAGCGCTGCCCCTGCCAGCCTCGCAGCCGACTTCTCTCCCCTTCCTTTCGTGGCCAGACTAGCTGTGACATTACGCTCTAGGTATTAAGCGTCCCTCTGCAATGCTGGTGTTTCTCCTCTTGGCAGGCAGGGCCCTCCCTCTGCCCTTTGGGGACCTTGTCCCGCCCTGTGTCTTCTAGCCTTGCCTCTCTGCCTCTGCTCCTGATTGCCCCCAGATCCTAGGCACCTGTGTCCTCCAGCCTCCTTGACATCACCTCCTTCCCTTCACACCCACTCTTCCTCATTTTACCTTTTCTTGAGGTGGCAGTATTGCCGTCCTTCCTGTTTGTCAGATCTTTCTAACCGTGAGAGCTACTCTGGACCCTGGTCCTTCACCCCAGTATCAGATCAGGTACCCCGAGTCATCTCTCCCCTCCTTTCCACTCATGCCCATCTGCCATGGTCTCTGACACAGACTGAACGTGGGCTCAGAAAGGACCCAGCGTCGTGTCCTCGGCACGTCTCTCTACCACATGTGGGGCCCGGACTCAGTGATGCCTAAGGCGTGGTTCTTGCCTAGGGTATTGTAACAGCCGCCTCACCAGACGATCTCCTTTCCCTTCTTCCTGCCATTGCTGCATTCCTATTATCTTGTCACTGTGGGGCTCCCTATCTTGGCATTCAAGGCCCTCAGGAGAGGTTTTATTCTTCCCAATTACACGTAAAGATAGTTTTCAACATTCTTTTTTTTAATATGATTTTGAATTTCAAATTCTTTCTCTCTCCTTCCCCTCCCAAGGTGGCAAGCAATCTAATATAGGTTATACATGTGCAATCATGTTAGACATATTTCCACATCAGTCATGCCGTGAAAGAAGAAACAGAACAAAAGGGAAAAACCACAAAAAAAATGAAAATAGTATGCTTCAATCTACTTTCAAACTCCATAGTTCTTTCTCTGGATATGGACAGCATTTTCCATCATGAGGTCTTTGGAGATGTCTAAGATCTTTGCATTGCTGAGAAGGGCTACGTCTGTCAACGTTATTCACCACACAATGTGGCTGTTACTGTGTACAACGTTCTCCTGGTTCTGATTACTTCACTCATACAAGTCTTTCCAGGTTTTTCTGAAGTCGG